GCGCCTCGGGGCGCGCTTCGGTGGGCCCTAGGAACAGTCCCTAGGAAGGGACCTGCTCTGATTCCATGAGAAGATATGAATGAGAATGAAAATGACTATGAACGAAGTGAGTACAAATAGGAAACCCTAATTTGGGTTGTACCCCCTATGGGATACCCCACTATAGCCTACAGAAACAAGTAAGCTATATGTTCTGACACGACCGCTGCCTCGCCTACCTCGCTGACACCCGCGACACCGCCCTGAAGTTCGGCGGTGGACCAGAGTCGCTGGAGCTGATCGGCAACGCGGATGCCGACGACGTGGGCGACAAGCAGAACCGGATGAGCACGGGAGGCTACGTGTTCGTCTACGGAGGGGCCGCCGTCTCCTGGTCGAGCTCACGCATCAAGTGCGCGACATTGTCGTCGACCGAGTCGGAGTACGTGGCGGCCACGGATGCAGGCAAGGAGGGATGCCGACTTCGTTTCTTTGCGGAATTCAAGCTGCTCGACGCTGGGAAGCCGACCATCCTCCGCGTCGACAACAAGTCGACAAACACGGTCGCTGAGGGCTTGGGGCTGACGGGCAACCTCAAGCACATGGAGCAATGCTACGCCTGGGTGCAGCACATGGTGAGGCGTGGGAAGTTCGTGCTGAAGTACACCCCGACCACCGAGCAGCCGGCGGACTTCCTGACGAAGGCGCTGCATTTTCCGGCTTTCAACCGATGCTCTGTCTGGCCGACGTCGGCGACGACGACGATGAGGTGCAGCAGTAAGTGTCGTGCCCTTCTGCACGGCTGGTGCGGTGACGGTGTGCTATATGTGGTGTGCACGCCGAGGATGGGTTTTCTCCGTGGAGTACTGCCGTGTGGGCTGGAGGCCCAAGCGTGAGTGCGGCAGGGGAGTGTTAACGGGAATGGAGTGTTGGCCCCGCCCTCGCTTGGGCAACGCCGACGACTTGGTCGGATGTACGGGAGTAGCAGCTGACCGTTCACAGTAGGAGAGCTGCTCGACAGGCTTCGTCGAGGTGAAGGGGACCGCTGTGGTGTTGCTGTCGACCAGGGAGCTCGACAGCTGCAACTGGCTGGTCTGGGCGACAGGTGGGCCGTCGACCAGGAGGGGCGGTTCGACCGAGAGGTCGACGGAGCATTCCGTCGACCTGCATTTTGACCGGGAGGTTGACGGAGCAGTCCGTTGACCTGACAAGTTAGCAGCGGTCGACGAGGGGAGCTCGGCGACAACAGCTGACAGTTCTGGTTGACGGAAGGGGTCCATCGGCCAGGGGGTAGCTCGACGGGAGCTATGGTCAACCACGGGCACCTGGTGGTCAACAAGAGAAACCCGGTGGTCGACCAGAGGGACCCGGTGGTCGACAAGAGGCACTTGGTGGTCGACCAGAGCACCTGCTGGTGTCTTGGTCGACCGGGTAACCTGCTCGACGAGTTCCGTGGAGGCACACGAACATCGTCGAAGTCGCGATGGCGAAGGCGACTTCGAGCTGGTATCCTGAGGTCGATGTGGCTCGTTAGGCGCAGAAAACAGCCAACGGATGCACAGCAATGCAAGTCGGGCCAATCGTCTGCGCGCATCTACAAGCGTGCGCACTGCTGTCTTCTACGGGGCAATGCTGGACAGCTGCTCTGCCGCAGCGTTGGCACGCCGTCGACCTGCAGTATTGGCAAGTCGCCTTTCTGCAGTGCTGGCGTGGCTCCTCTACGCAACGCTGGCAGGCGGTCGACCAAGCTATGCTGGCGGTCGACCAGGCTAGCTGCAGGGTTGCTAGGTGCCTAATGTAGTAATTCTGTCATTGCTTGTTCAACCATTATGTAATTCCATTTTTGCCTAGTGAAACTCTTGCCGATTTCTCCCGTATATGCGCAAGCACTAAGGAACTAAGCAAAGCTACGATCACACCTAGTAGTTTGTGCCAATCCCCGTAGTCTAGCTCACTACCGTTGTAGAGTGAATCTCCGTACAACGTGCAGCAGGGTCGGTGGAACAAGCAACTTCGAGCCAAGGGATCAAATCCCAGCGGGGCGTATTTCAGTGTGCAACGCTTTTTGAGGCGCCTAAAAAAAACTTGCAACAGGGTCCGTGGAACAAGCAACCCCGAGCCTAGGGATCAAAGCCCTCCCACGCGTACCGCATTCAATGCGCAAAACTCAGCCAGCCCATCCATAGTCCGGCTCATCTGGTGCTTCCAACTCAGCTTGCACTGTTGCCGACCACAGTTGACCAGAAAATGTTTGGCCCGTTGGCTAGCAGGAACACATTTGACACACTTTCCTGTTGATTCCAGCAGTGGTTTTTTAATCGACTGGAAAGTGTTTTGCAGCAGAAAAGGAATCGTCTGGCCCATTGCCCCAGCAGGAGAGCCTTGGCCCATTGATTCCGGCAGCAGCAGCTTGCGTTTCTCGCGAGGGCCAGCAGCGCCCGCGTTTCGGTCTTCTCTACAAAGGAATAAACCCGCCAGATGGCCACAAATATGGGGCATTGGCGGGATTCCATTGCGCGGGTGTGCCCCTACTACTACCTGCAAGCTATGTGCAAAGCATGCGCAAGTAATTGGCCGTTTGGTCAACTTGTGTAGAAGTAGACCAAAGTCACCGCTACTTCACTATCAAACAGGCAATCCCCGTTATGGGCTGTTTCGGCATTTGTGCATAATCCACAATCCACAAAACGCAATACTACTATCCCATGAATCAGGCACACAGGAAGCCAAAGCGATTCAAAAAGAGCTGGTTTGCATTTTGGCCCTTTGAGACGTCTAAGAAAGAGCTGGCCCTTTGATCCCTGTCCTCAGAATCCTTAAAACCAATTGGTAGGCTTTGCTGGCCCTTTGGGACGTCTACGAAAGAGCTTCAGTTGTACGGTAGCTGGAGGGTCTTTGAGACGTCTCAGAAGGCGTGAGTGAGCGTTTTTTAGGAGGTGCCATGCCAACGCCATTCAAGTTTCAGAATTTGTAGTCATTGGCGGAGCTGCAGTTGTGGCTTATAAAGAATTTTTGTTCACTTTTGTAAAAGAGCTGGTGTGTGCAGTTATACAAGGTATTTCGGGTTTCCCGGTACTGTAGGTAACCTGTTTTTAGTTTTTTGTTACTTTGGATAAGCTTCAGGTTGATGCATGGGCAGGGCCTCAGATTCACTTTTAGGGTCGTCACCCCATCAGGGTCCCCCTGCGTGTTAACTCTGATTTTCAGTGTCCCAAAAAACAAAAAGGCTGAAATGTCAATGTTGCGAATTTTTAAAGCCTGATGCATCAGTGTACCTTTTGCAAAAACACTGACTCTATTTTAATGTCCTACTTCTAGATGGCAGAAACGGTGGATGGGCTGGGCGGCGTGGAGGATGGCACGGTGCTTGCCAGCACAGCCCAAACCTAACGCATCGCACATGATGGGTACGGGGCAGGAACCTTGGCAGCCCACCAGCACCACATGTCTGCCACATTCGGATTCGCCAACACTGGATGCTGTAGCGAAACGGCCCAATGGTGTGAGGCGCCCCGCCAAAAAAACACCTCTCAACGTGAACCTAAGGCAACATTTCTAAGGGTGGTCCCGCCACAGGGTGCCTACATACAGGGAATCTGAGATTCCCTGCAATTGCGGTCGAGGTGACATGTCACATGTGAGATTCGCTTTCAGTGTCGGTTTCGTTACAACGTAGTGGCATCAGTGTCTGGCCCCTAGATTCGTTTTGAGGTAGTCTGAGGCCTCAGAGTACACCCCTCCTGGAACTCTGTCTGTCAAAGGTGCCTCGAAATTTTAGTCTGAAAATTCAGACAAGCACAATTTTTTTTTGTCTGAACTGTCAGAGTTCAAATTTTAAGATGTTCATGCAGTTTCGTAAAAGCAGTTATAATAGCATTGAGGCTGATTACAGCCTACCATACCAACGCATCAGGCAACGTGCTCGTGCTCGTGCATCGCCTCTGCTCATGTCGGCGGCGTTCCAGTGTTTTTGTCACGTGCAGCGCATGGTTGTTTCTGCTCTGCTGATCTCATTTCATTTTCTCGTGTGTGTTATTACTGTTCTGTACCCATTTTCTCGCATGTGTGCCGATTTTGTCAGTTTTGGATTTGCTTTTCAAGCGATTCGATCGTTCACCCGATCTGTATCATGTGGGCCAAGTGCCACGCAGCTGAGCTGGCAGCAGGCAGAAACTGTTGCTTGGCGTGGCATGTGAGGATCAGAAAGTGCCACACGAAACTTTCAGTACGAATCAGGAACTTCGCAATTCACACCAGTGCGTGCTGCAGATGTTTTCACAGCGAATCAGCATCAAAGTCACCTATTCTTTACAATACATTAGCCATAACTTACATGTGACGAGATTTTTTCTTCAGAAATCGCGTAATCACGCAACCATTTCCTCAGCGTAACTGGAAGATATTCTCGACGAACGAGTGTATTTGGATGTCCCAGCTGTCGAAGTGAGCGTTGCTCACGTCCTGGCACTCAACTGCCACCTCGGAAGTGGGCATATCGGAAGGAAACTTCCAGGAAACTTTGCTCCGATAAGCGCGCAGAGTGTACCCCCGATACAAGTCTGAGGCTCAGCCTACCCTAGTAAAATTAGGCCGAAATTTCAGACAACTCATAAGAAATAACTCTGGAAAATCAGACAAGGTACATAAATAAATTCTTTGAGTTCAGACTAGGTACAAAAAAAAAGTCTGAACGGACTCTGATTCAGACTCCAAAGTCTGATATCTAGGGCACTGATCAGTGTACAACGGGAAAAAAACCTGAAATATCAGTGTGGCCAATAAAAAAACGCTGAAAGATCAGTCCTACAAAAATCCCAACTCTGACTTTTCAGGGTAGCTTGAAAATCGGCTGCCAAAATCAGGAATTTCAGGGTTTTTTCCCTGATATCTGAGGCGTGATTACGGGTATCGATTGTGGCCGACTTTCCTCACTCGCTAAATTGTGAGTGCTTACATTTGCACTAAGCAAGCATGGCTCTTTGTTGAATGCTATCTGCACCATTGCTGCCAAAGTAGCAATGCTACACTACACCAATTGCTGCCACACTAACAATGCTACACCCATTGCTGCCACACTAACAAAGCTGCAAGCACGGGAATGGGACGCAACACAAAGCTGTGATGCCACACAGTTGCATCGTTACAAGACTGTACAGCACGCATGGCCAGATGCCTTAGCGTTTGACCTTTTCCCTGTGGGGTTCATCTCCTCTTGAATCTGCTCTAGTATCTCTATAATGCGTGCAAATGAAGGCCTTACTGCTGGATCTCCACTCCTGCAGTCTGTTATTAGCCTGGTAGTGAGGAGGATAGGAGATGGGGGAAAAAGGGGAGGGAAGACGGGGGGCAGGGTGGGTGGGGGGAGGGAGGGAGACAACATGCTTTAGGGTTCAGGGATCATGTAGGTGAGAAAACAAGTCGCTGTATCCACACGGCGAAGGCAGGAAGATGTGTAACGATGGAAAGGGCAGGACCAGAGCAATATTATTTAGAACTGGTTTTGAGGTGCCTCAGAGGGAGCATGTTTTGTGGCATGACCAGCAGCAGGGCATACCCATGCGACACACCTATGTGGCATACCCATGCGACACACCCATGCGGTACACCCAACACACCCATGCGACGCACACACCCATGCGGCACACCCAACACACCCATGCGACGCACACACCCATGCGGCACACCCAACACACCCATGCGACTCACACACCCATGCGACACACCCAACACACCCATGCGACGCATACACCCATGCGGTACACCCAACACACCCGTGCGACGCACACACCCATGCGACACACACACCCATGCGACCCACCCATGCGACACATACATGCGCCACAGCGCACACGTGCAGCACACACTGGCAACACTCACTCCTTCATCCCCATGGGGTATGTTCGTCTGGTGAAGACAGGAGGAGCAATGTCAGCCGGCCTTGCTGCTTCTGCTGCTGCCTCTCCCTCACTCCCTCTCCCATCAGCAGCACCACCAGCAGCACCAACAGAACCATCAGCAGCAGCAGTAGCCCCACCACTGGCAGAAGCCTCCTTGCTTCTCTCCCCCGCACTCCCCCCCTTAAACAACCCCCCACCCCTTAAGCTCCCCCCCCCATGGTAACTCCCTCCTCCGCTGTGGTGGCTTCCCCCTGCCCCCTCCTCCGCCCCCCCCTCCGAGTTGCTGTGGCCGCTGCTGCTAAGTGCCAGTGGGAAAAGATTGCCCCCATGGTTGGTCCCACCGGGTAGCAACTGGCGGATCCGGTCATATCCTTCAAACATCTGAGGGGGAGGTGTGAGTTGCGCGAGGAGGTTGACTGGCGTATGAGATTGTAACCTAGTCGTGAGAAAGAATTTCTATGGGAAGACAACACACACACTGACAAATTCAAGTCTATCAACAAAATAACTGTAAACAAGTACGAACTGTACCTCAAACAGAATAACTCCAAACGAGTACACATCCACACTCTTGTCATACTCCTGCTGTGCCAACAACTCGGGTGCAGAATAGAGGCCTGCCGTGCAGTGTCGGGCGGAGAGGGTTGGGAAAAGGACAAACAAAGGGAATATTTCAAGGGGCAGGGGAAAGGAGAGAGAAAGGGAAAAGGGAGAGAAAAATGAGAGAAACAGAGGAAGGAGGAAAGATTATAAAATAAACGAGAGAAGGGAAAAGAACAGAACAGGGATAGAAAACGAGAAGAAGATAAGACGAAAATTAACAAATGAGGGCGGGAGGAGGGGCCGGGAGGAGATGGGAGGGCATGGAAAGGTTTGGGAAGGGCTGGGAAGGGTTGAAAAGGTTTGGGAAGGGTTGGGACGGGTTGCAAATGGTGACGGTTGCTTGAGATGGCTGTTTATTTTTTTTTAACCGTCTCAAAACAAGGTTCTGGCAACGGGGGTCAAGGGTTGCAAATGGTGAAGGTTGCTTACGATGGCTGTGCTTGGAAAAAGTGAGTCGGCGAGAAAAGTTGGGCTGGAAGAGTGATACAATGTTGGTGCCCCCCATCCCCATGCCTAGGCCCATCCCCATCCCCAGGCCCATCCCCGTGCCCGTGGAGACATTGGGTGGGGCCGCAGCAGTGGCTCTGATGCTTGCCAGGCCAAAATCCGCCACCTTGAGATGGCCCGAGTCGTCCCGCAAGAGGTTGCTGTTAAGGAGCGGTAGAAAAGGGGGAAAGGGAGACGGACAAGGGAGGGAGTGGGTGAGCAGCAGCGGTGGCTCGGATGCTTGCCAGGCCGAAATCCGCCACCTTGAGATGGCCTGAGTCGTCCCGCAAGAGGTTGCTGCTCGTGTGGGGGGAAAGGAGGAAAGGGAGATGGGCAAAGGAGGAAAGAGACAAGGAAACGGGAGGAATAGGGGGAAGGGAGGCCAAGGAGAGACTGAATAGGGGGAAGGGAGGCCAAGGAGAGACTGAAAACCGCCACCTTGCGATGCCCTGAGTCATCCCGCAAGAGGTTGCTTTGCTATCAGTGTGTGGGGAGAAATGGGGAATGGGATAAAGGGGGAGTGGGAGAGGGAGACGTGGAGAATAGGGAGAAAGGGGGAGTGGGAGACGGAGAAATGGAGAAAGGGGGAAAGGTGGAAAGTGAGAAGGGGGGAAAGGACCGGGAGTGCGGAAGGAGAGGAAAGCAGAAAGGGTTACATCTTTACTGTGTATCCACCATCGTCCCCCCAACCCCTCTCACTACTCACTCTCCCCCCTCTCACTCTCACTCCCTCCCCTCCGCCCCCCTCCTTTCCCCCCTTGCTCCCCACTTCCACCAATGGAATACCTGGGGGTCAAGTCGTGGTGTATTACAGGGTCTGGCTGGTGGGCATGTAGATAGCACGTGCTCCCCACTTACTAGCTTCCCCACTTACTACCTTCCCCACTTACTACCTTCCCCACATCCTTGCAGCTGCATACCTGGGGGTCAAGTCGCGGTGTATTACAGGGTCTGGCCGGTGGGCATGCAGATAGCACATGCCCCTGGGTGGGAGGGGAGACGGGTCACGGGGGAGATGGGGGAGACGGGGGAGATGGGGGAGACGGGGGAGACGGGGGAGACGGGGGAGACGGGGGAGATGGGGGAGATGGGGGAGACGGGGGAGACGGGGGAGACGGGGGAGATGGGGGAGATGGGGGAGACAACGGAGATGGGGACGAGGGAATAGGGGAGATGAGAGCGGAAGCGGAGGTGAGGAGAGGGGAGGAGAGGAGAGGAGAGAGAGGGAAAGAGAGGAGACGGAGCGGAGCAGGGAAGCATTGAGCGGGGGGAGGAGTGTAGAGGAGAGGAGGGGAGGGGAGGTGAGGAGGGGAGGGGAGGTGAGGAGAGGGGAGTGTGGATGAAGAGGGTTCAAAAAGAAAACTGGCTGGGGAAGGGGTGTGCATGGATGGGGAGAGGTGGACAGAGGAGGTAAAGGAAACGAAGGCAGAGGAAAAAATTTGAGGATACAACTTGGGGTGGCTAGTGGGGAGGGAGGGGGTGGAGATCAGAACGTTTGACAGGGAGGGAGTATGTTCCAATGGAGAGGGCAAAATGCAGTGCGTTATGAATCAGCGAAGAAGCCAATAGGCACGAGGAAATGTCTAACGCTGAGGGCAATGTCTAACGCTGAGGGCAATGCCTAACGCTGAGGGCAATGTCTACCGCAGAGGGCAATGTCTACCGCAGAGGGCAATGTCTACCGCAGAGGGCAATGTCTACCGCAGAGGGCAATGTCTACCGCAGAGGGCAATGTCTACCGCAGAGGGCAATGTCTACCGCAGAGGGCAATGTCTACCGCAGAGGGCAATGTCTACCGCAGAGGGCAATGTCTACCGCAGAGGGCAATGTCTGAAAGCACCTCCCATGTCTGAAAGCACCTCCCACAGTACCTGGCAACGTCAAGGGCGTAGCGCATTGCTTCGTGCGCTGGCAGCGCGCCCTTCTTGCGAATGACGTCCCTCAGATTCACCTGTGCACGAGGGAAGGGGGCGCATGGGGGAGGGGGGGGCATGGGGGAGGGGGCGTATGGGGGAGGGGGCGTATGGGGGAGGGGGCGCATGGGGGAGGGGCGCATGGGGGAGGGGGGGGCATGGGGAAGGGGCGCATGGGGGAGGGGGCGCATGCGGGAGTAGGCGTATGGGGGAGGGGGCGCATGGGGGAGGGGGCGCACGGGAGAGGGGGCGCATGGGGAAGGAATGCATGGGGGAGGGGCCGGATGGGGGAGGCAAAGCGCCCTTCCTGCAAATGACGTCCCTCAGATTCACCTGTGTGGGGGACGCATGGGGAACGGGCGCATAGGGGAGGGGAGGGGCGCAGGGGGAGAGGCGAATGGGGGAGGGGCGGATAGCGGAAGGGGCGAAGACGTCCCTCAGATTCACCTGAGAGGGTCTGACTTTCTACATTTTCTTAGTATTTTTCTCGTTCTTTCATCAACTTAAACCAAGCAAGTCCATCTCACCTTGAGGTATTCTGTGACGATCATTCGCGGGTGGGACTTGGAGAGAGGGAGGAAACGACAAGCACGTTGTGCCAGCCATACATATTGTGCCGGCCAAGCATGAGCACTTAAAGCCAGGCATACCCCACCCCACCTTGAGGTACTCGGTGACGATCATGCGCGGGCGGGACTTGGTAACGGCTCCCAGGAACTGCACGATGTTGGGGTGGCGCAGCGACTGCAGGATGCGCAGCTCCTGCCTGAACTCGTTGCTGCGGACCAAGGAGATGGGCAGGGCGGGCAAGGGGGGGCGGGCAAGGGGGGGCGGGGCAAGGGGGGGCGGGGCAAGGGGGGGCGGGGCAAGGGGGAGCGGGCAAGGGGGAGCGGGCAAGGGGGGGCGGGCGAGGGGGGGTGGGCAAGAAGGGGTGGGCATGGGGGGCGGGTTTTGTGTCGACTCATGAGAGTCACGATGTTGGGGTGGCGCAGGGATTGCAGAATCCGCGGCTCCTGCCGGAAGTCATTGCTGCACGCACGGGGGCTGGGGACAGGTGGGGTCGGAGATGCGTGCGCGGGGGGGTTGCGCATGAGGGCGATTGAGCAACGAGGGAAATGGTGGGTGGCGGATGAGGGGGATTGAGCAACGAGGGAAATGGTGGGTGGCGGATGAGGGGGATTGAGCAACGAGGGAAATGGTGGGTGGCGGATGAGGGGGATTGAGCAACGAGGGAAATGGTGGGTGGCGGATGAGGGGGATTGAGCAGCGAGGGAAATGGTGGGTGGCGGCACATCAACAATCTTTGAGAGAGATACAATCCGAATACAATCCGCTACACTAGGAGGAAAGGGGGGCAGAGGGGGGGGTTGGGGGGGGGCGGGGGGGCATACAATCCGCCTTAAAGAGCAGGTATTAGCAAGACCAGTAAGCGGTTCCCTTACAGGGCGGCAGGGTCGGCAGCGTATTCATCTCTCAGCACCTTCACAGCGATGGGCGTGCCCCTCCAACTCGCCAGGCGCACCTCCCCGAACGATCCCTGGGATGTGAAAGGAGTAAGCGGGGCAGGCGACAGGGAGGAGAGGAAGGGCAGGCGTTGAGAGGGAGGGAGTTGAGAGGGAGGGAGTTGAGAGGGAGGGAGTTGAGAGGGAGGCAGTTGAGAGGGAGAAGGGAGAAGGGAGAAGGGAGAAGGGAGAAGGGAGAAGCATTCTGCCAAAGACCCTCAGCAGCTGGATTGCATTTCCCAGAATGACCCTGCACTCACCCCCTCCCCCCTTCTCACCTCGCCCCTTCCCAACCCCACCTCGCATTGCTCACACCCTCCCTTCACCCTGCTCACCCCCCACCACCCTCCTCCCACCCAGTCCCCCTGCGCACCTCGCCCATCCCCTCCCCCTCCCCCTACGCACCTCGCCAATGACCTTGGACGTGCCAAGGTCGATCTCACTACCATCGATCTCGTTGTCTTGCTGGTTGAACGAATGAGCCACCTACCTGACACAAGTGCCCCCCATGCCTCCCCCCCCACACCCCCGCCTTTTCCTCAAGCTCACACCCCCATACACCCCACCTCCCACCCTCCCCTCCCTCCTACGCACCTCGCCAATGACCTTGGACGTGCCCAGGTCGATCTCACTGCCATCGATCTCGTAGTCGTGCTGGTTGAACGAGCTCGCCCCTGCATTGCGTATGCGCGCACTCTGTCAGGGGTGGGGGGGAGCAGAGGGAGGGAATCGGGAGGGAGGAGGAGAAACGGGGGGAAGGGGGGGGGGGAGGGGTGGCGGGGAATCGATGCTGGGCTAATTAGTAGGGAAGTAGGGGCAGGATTTAAAATGTAGGGATGACTAGAAACGACAGACGGAGCATTCAATGAGAGATGCAGGCAGGGGCGATAAGAGGAACGCCGGAGGACGGAAAAGGGTGGTGTGGGGGTACGGGAGGCGAGGGGGGGGAGGGAGGGGGAGAGAGGGGAATGCTTTCTTTGTTAGTAGATAGAGAATCAGGGCAAGGGGGAAGGTAGGCAGGGAATGAATATTGCATATGGGGCATATGAGGTTCAGGAGAAACGTAGAAGAGATGTCATCCCACCATCCCACCACCCCGCCACCCCACCATCCCCACCATCCCGCCATCCCCACCATCCCACCACCCCACCACCATCCCCACCATCCCTGCCAAACTCCCCTTTTCCGCTTACGCTGCCCTGCCGACCTCTCTCTCCCCAGGCGCTCCAGTCCTCTACATTCCCGCACCCCCTCTCTCCCTCCCGATTCCCTTTTCCTCCACACTCCGCCACTCCCATTTCTTCCTACGGACTCCCCTTTCCTCTACATTATCCCATCGCCCTCTCATTCCCCCAATTTCCTGTTCCTCTATTATTTTCCCGCGTCCCCACGTTCTCCTGCGCACCTCACAGAGCACGCCCTCTCACCTCACAGAGCATGCCCCCTCACCTCACAGAGAATGCCCCCTTTCTCCTTGAGCAGGCGGCAGATCTCTCCGGATCCGTACGACTGCGCGTCTGCCAAGGGCTGCGAGAGGGGAGGGTGGGGAAGGAGAGGGTAGGGGGGAACGGCAATGGCCGCCATGCCATGCCATGCAATCCAATATCATGCCATGTCAGGCCACACCATGCAATGCAATACCATGCCATGCCATGACATGCCATTCCATCCTATAACATGCCATCCCCCATCCCATAACATGCCATCCCAGACCATGCCATGCCATCCCACCGTGTCATGTCATACCATCCCATCCCATGCCATGCCACGCCATGCCACGCCACGCCACGCCACGTCACGCCACGCCACGCCATGCCATTCCATGCCAAAACAAATAACATTGTGATGCCACATGGCCAGGTAACAGTGTGATGTCGCAAAATTGGCTAGCAATGTGATATCACGACGAATCGGGCCCGTTCACCAAATAATAGATAGAAGTCACCACGATGGGAATTCACATTGTCAAAAGGAGCGTGCTGCCTCTGCCTTCCGCCTCTCAGTGTGCTGTCATGCACCCCTTCACATCGTTCTGCACCCCTCTCACCGTGTTGCCGTGGCGGTCCTTGGGGTTCACATCCGCGCCTCGCTCAAGCAGCACCCGCACCACATCCACCTTCCCCTCGCTCGCCGCCAGATGCAGCGCCGTTCGCCCGTCATAATCCGCCAAATCCGGACTCACGCCGCGATCCAATAGGTCTATAACCCCCTCAATTATGCCGCGGCTCGCAAGGAATAGCAGCTGCCCTGTGGCGTCTACCAGCTCGCGGTGTCGCGCTGACGTGTTCGCCGCGTCTTGGCCATTGCGCGCGTCTGTGATTGGCCCTTTCGGAGCGAGAATCGCGGCGTTACTAGCACTGGTACTAGGTGCAGTGGTATCAGGCTGAGCTGGACCTAGGCCGTAATCGTCGCCAAGGTTACTCCCTTCATTTCGGTCGCCAGAGTTACCAGCTTGATCTATATAGCCAACGTTACTACTTTGACCTTGAAGTCTGTCAGTCCCCGGCGGTAACTCAGTCGCCGGTGCTTCCGTCGATGCTTCCGCCGATGCTTCTGCCGATGCTTCCCCCAATGCTACCACGAGTAGCGGAGTGGCCGCTTCCGTTAATCGGGGGGATTCGTCAATTTCCGCCGCGTGACGGGGTTCCCCGATCTCCACGGCTTGCGCAGGCTCCCCTGCTGCTGCTATCGTTTCCGCAGAAGCATCCGCGACTCGCATTTCCGCAGCAGAAGTATCTGCGACTGGCATTTCCGCAGCGTCTACGAGTGGCATTTCCGCAGCATAAGTATCTACGGCTGGCATTTCGCCTGGAAGTGTCGGTCTGTGATCTGGCTGTTTTAGGGTTTCCCGTTCAGGTGACGCAGATGCGTGGTTACCACGATACCTTCGCGAAACGGTGCATCGTCTAGTGAGGGCCCAGTGCTGAGTACTTTTGCGGCTTCTATGTCCGATCAGCCAAGTCAGTAAGTCGAGCCGCGCGATGCGTGAACCTCCCTGTTTGATATATCAAAGATGAAGAAGGCTAACACAAATGGGAAACTAGCGAAATTCCCTGCATCGAGAGCAAAACTACGGATCTTCTACCACCAGCAGCGGCACTCCTTCGACATAAAACCAGCGAAAGGAGCTTTTACTAACAGCAGCAGCACTGGTAGCAGCAAGCATGGCGGATACTAGGGTCCTGGAGTCAAGAAGAGGAAGGTTGATCGAACAGTCCAAATGGCGGATTCTTTTTTGAATCCATGAGCGGTGCAGAACTGTACATGACTTTCGCTGAAGGCCTTGTGATTATACAGCATTCCATGATTATGAGCTGTAAAACCAAAGTGGGGGGGAAAAAACGAATAATGAAGCTGTGACAATATGGATCAACGATACTATAAAAGGACAACATAGCTGGCAAAACTTAGCTAGGCTGGAACCTTGGAAATTGAGATCGTGGTACTTTGTTTCTAGTAATCTGCATGCCAAGATAACAGCGCAGTTCACCTAGGTCAGTGCAAACATGTCACCTTAGCAACTCGACATTTACTGGGGTGACCTGTCTGGAGTAGCGAATACCATGTCGTCCACGTAGATAAGGATGTAGAATGGAGTAGGGCCAGAGCGAACGAAAGAGACGAGTCATCTGATGATAGAAAGAAACGAAGGTCAACCAAACCGTTACGTAGCATATCGCGCCACTCACGAGGATCGTGACGCATACCTTAGATGGGCCACCATGTTATTGAGAGAATAAGTAGCTAGAATAGGCGTAAAGGGGGGTACAAGTAGCAACCCACACCTTATACAGTATAGCCCACTTGAGCCTATACTAAACGTTAGACGTATATATTTATGTATAACTGCATGTTGTGGTACGAGTGCTCCACGGATTCGAGCCACACCGCAGCAACGCCAAGGCCTTCAAGTCCCTGCAGCTGAGGAGGAAAGAAGGGGGAAGAGGAGAGCTCAACCCCCTAATAGGCTGACCTATGATGCGCCGGGAAAGCAGGGCAAGACAGCCCTGGCCGGAGCGGCAATGATGGTCGGAGACGACGAGGAGAGTGACTACGAGGAGTGTGCCTTCACGTTCTTCTCTCCGGTGGAGATGCCGGGAGAACCAGCAACTCTCAAGGAGGCTTTGGAGAGTAGTGATGCTGAGGAGTGGAAGAAGGCCATGGAGAGTGAGCTGAAGAGCATCGAGGAGAATGACACGTTTGAATTGGTGGAGCTACCGGAGGGGCGTACGGCGATAACGTCCAAGTGGCTCTTCAAAATCAAGTCGGATGCCGACGGCAAGATCGATTGCTCCAAGTCTAGGCTTGTAGCCAAGGGGTACCAACAGAAGGAGAAGGTGGACTTCAAGGAGTTGTTTGCCCCTGTGGTGAAGCCGACGACGCTGCGAACCCTATTCGCGGTAGCCGCCATCAAAGGATGGGTAGTAAAACAAATGGACATCGTAACGACATTCCTTAACGGCATCCTTGAGGAGGAGATTTTTATGGCGCAGCCAGAGGGGTTTGACGATGGTAGTGGCAGAGTGTGGAAGCTGAAGAAGGCCCTCTATGGGCTGAAGCAGGCCCCTAGGCAATGGTACATGAAGCTGCGCGAAGTGTTGGAGGGGATCGGCTTCACTCCCTCAACGACCGATCACTCCTTGTTCATGCTTGGCAAGGGGGAGCAGAGGAGCTTCATGGTGGTGTACGTGGATGACATCCTGATCTTCTCACCCTCTTCTGACCTTGTGAAGGAGCTGATGCTGAAGCTGCAAGAAAAGTTCAAGTGCAAGTCCCTTGGTGACGTGAACTTCTACCTTGGGCTCCACATCGAACGAGACGTGGAGAAGCGGAGCATGCGAGTTCACCAACGGAAGTACCTGGAGGCGTTGGCCGCCAACTTCGGCCAGAGTGACGGTCAGGTGGCTACACCCTTTCCCTCTGGGTTCAAGTGTGTGAAGGGGCCAGAGGAGGAGAGCGTTGGAGAAGAGGAGAGGCGTCGTTTTCACTCGTTGGTGGGCAGCCTCATATATGCGGCGGTAAACACCCGACCGGACGTCGCGTTTGCTACCGGGCAGCTGGCTAGGGTTGTGCAATGCCCTAATGAGGAGCAGGTAGCAGCTGGAATGAGGGTGGCCAAGTATCTTGGCCAAACACCGACCGTTGGGCTGCAATACTCGGCGGCGGCACAAAGGCGCCAAAAGGGTGCGGATGGTGTTGAACCCGGGCGTTTGTTCCTCACCGCCTACTCGGATGCTTCATATGCATCGGAATCAGAGGACATGACAAGTGTGGGAGGCTTCATATGCTGTGTTGGTGGAGGCCCAACTGCTTGGGAGAGCAAGAAGCAGGTTGACCAAGCTTTGAGCTCGGTGGAGTCCGAGTACATGGCACTCTTCCGTGCCGTACGGGAGATTGTGTGGCACCAGCGTTTGTTGGCTGAATTGGGGGAGGAGCAGCAAGGACCTACCCCATTCTACTGTGACAGCCAGGGTGCCATTGCTCTTGCTAAGAACCCTGTGTTGCATGGACTCACAAAGCACATGAGGGTGAAGTGGCATTGGACGAGGAGCATGGTGACCGCGGGTGAAGTTGAGTTGCGGTACGTGAAGACCACGGGGCAGCCGGCTGACATGATGACTAAGAGGCTGGTGGAGCAGCAGCATTGGAAGTGTTGCAAGCTGGTTGTGATGGCTCTGAACTGAGAGAGCAACATATCCTAAGGCCAACAATCCGAGGGGGAGTTTGTTGGTGCAACCCTACGGTTTGCATTCGGCTTGTTGTCCGTGTGCGTGCATGTGTGTGTGTATGGAATGGTATGAGTGTATGGGATAATATATATTTTATGCTTATAATTGTGAGTGAATGTTGAGTCATGATGTCGAGTGTGTGTGTTGAGTCAATAGCGAGTTATCGCTAGACGCGTGTTACGCGGTCGTTTGGGTCTCGTGCGCGGTTTCTATTTTGTCGTGCACGGTTTCTATTTTGTCCTGTGTCGAACGTTCGGCGTGTCGCAGGTGTGTGCAGAAGACCCATCAAGAACTCAAGGATGAGTTTGTGATGAAGAGCCCGAGCCTTGGTGTCAAGCCTCAAGTGATTTCGAAGCTCGCCAAAAGGGTGCACCTCAAGATATTGAAGATAGTTACATTACTTTGTGTAGTGTAACATTTCACCTGGTGTAGGCCCTAGTGAAGGGTAGTTTCGAGACCCTTCGTGGTTGGGGACAGTGTGGCACTGTTCCACATCACTGTACCTCGGCTCTTGGGGTTTGTAGGAGCTGGGAGTCATTCCCAACTCGTAACTCTTCCTAACTCTTCCTATCTTGTGTTCTTAGACTATGTTGCTGCCATAGTGCCGTTCGTTCAAACCAACGCTGTATCGTCAGTTCTTAATGAAAGCGTGTGATCTAAATTGCCTATTGTAGGTGACATTAAGGCGCTCCAGATCCAAGTTGAATGAAGTCATTTGGAGTTGTGAGCTGATCGCTATGAACGTTTGAAGCCGCTGTGAAGAAATCTGACTATGCACTCTATCTTTTGTTTTAGGCACATTGGAGCCTACTATAACTATAACAGGTCGCGGCCCCCCAGGGAGCCGCGACGGGCGATGGGAAAAGAGGGGGGGGGGCGGTGCACGTGCCTCCAGTGCGCCGCGACAGGCGACAGAGCATGGCCGGGGCGGGGCCAGGGCAGGGTCGAGGCAGGGCCGAAAGGGGCGGCGACGGGGCCGCAAGGGGCGGCGACGGGGCCGCTGGAGGCGGCGACGGGGCCGATAGGGGCGGCGACGGGGCCGCAAAGGGGCCGCGAGGGGCCTGGAAGGGCGGCGACGGGCCGCTAGGGGCGGCGACGGGGCCGCGAGGGGCCTGAAAGGTCGGCGGCGGGGCCGTTAGGGGCGGCGACGGGGCCGGGGAGGGGCCTCGAGGGGCCTGGAAGGGCGACAACGGGGCCGCGAAGGGGCCGCGAGGGGCCGAGAAGGGCGGCGACGGTGCCGCGAGGGGTGGCGATGGGGCCGCTAAGGGTCGCGCGAGGGGCCGTGAGAGGGGCCTCTAGGAGTGCTCGACAAGAGGGCGGCCGGCGGGAAGGAAAATTCCGTCGCACGCCACGGGGCATGAAGCACACAGAGTAGCAGCGGAAGCAGTTAGGTGGGCCCACAGGCCAGGAGCGTAGATGCTCTGATAGCATGTGAAGTAATGAGGAATGAAGAAGAGGGGGTTGCACTAGCAGCAGTTGGCATACATATAGGAAACCCTAATTGGGTTGTACTCGCTATAGATTACCCCACTGCAGGCTAGACAATTATAACATTCTGACAGGTGTCAGTTTTGATCACTTGCTCCTTCATCTCCTTGTAAGTCGTCCAATTGGCCATGCCGCCGATCATGTGTGCCTCCTGCAGGTTGACAGGGAGGCCTTTCATGAAGACGTGCATCATCTCCTCCTCAGACAAGGGCTTCTGGAGCGAGCGTGCTGAGGCCTCAAACTCGACCGCATATTCCCGCACCGAACGGTCATGAGACTTGATATGCTCAAGGCGTCCGCGCAGTTCCAGGCCGGACTTCTTGACCATGAATGCCTCTTTCAGCGCGGTGCAGAACTCCGGCCACCCAAATGGTCCCTGCGCCTGCTTCTTAGCGCCATACACTGCCCTGCGGGCCACCTCGTCCAATGCACGAGTCGCTGCAGTAACGCGAGCCTCAGGACGCACATTCGCAAGGATCATGGTTTCATTCACCAGGTCAAGCCAAGCCTGCACCTCCGTCTTGCGATGGTTAAACTCAGGCAGAGGCGCCGAGAGAGACCCAAAGGGCGAGGTCTCAGTTGGAGGTGGCTGATGCATAGCCGTCGCAGCGCTTACCGCCGGGGGTGCGGGCGGAGCGGGTGCCGGCTGAGCAGCAGGAGCGGGCCTACGCCCAGGAGGAGGTTCGTAAATACCCTCCCTCCTAAGATGGGTCAACTGCTCATTGAGCTTGTTGAATGATGCTTGCAGATTCTTGCAAGTCTTCTGAAGCCACTCAATTTGGCGGTTTTTAGTGCCCAGGTTGCGACGGAACTCAGTGACCTCCTTCATGGTAATGCTCAGCCTAGCCTCGAGGTTGTGAGTGTGCTTCTTGAGTCCATCAATGGACGTCTGCTGCTGCAGGATGGTTATATTCTGAGTTGCCACCTTAGCCTGGAGATGGACAATCTCCTCGGAGATAGGATAAGTCATGCCTTCACCCTCAGTGAAGTCATTTTCATCACCAGTGGCCTCCTTTCCACCGGTATTATCCTCTTCCCCAAGGTTGTCAGCTTCACCATGGTTCTCAGCTTCACCATGGTTCTCAGCCTCACCATGGTTCTCAGCTTCACCATGGTTCTCAGCTTCACCATGGTTATGTTCATCTCCAAGGTCCAGGTCCAAGTCCTCAGTATCATCCAACTCAAGGACAGCCATTGCCTCATCTTGATTGAGGTCAATCTCAGCAGCATTGTTCACCACCTCATTGGGTGCAGTGGGCCCTTCCTCCCTTGCCATATCCTTCTCTTGGCCAGATGCCATAAGGATTAAGGGAGCTTGTAAGATCTGGGTTGATTCTGTTAAAGCCCTTTTACCACCTCAATGGTAAAGCAAGAAATTCTTATAAAAGAAATTTCTTCTACAGAATAATCCAAGGTTACCAAAGGTAACAGATTTGTTCTCAAGCACTCCCAATCACCGAAGTGAAAGGGCAGGGTCTATCCAAATCTCAATAAAGAAAACTTGTATAATCCTCAACAAATCCTCAAGATCCAAGTTTATACTCCACTACTCAACAGAAGAGATTCTTCCACCAAAAGGTGGGCAAGAGAGATAAATCTCTCTTCTTAGCTTGAAATTGCAGTTGTAGATCTTGTAGATCTTGAACTCTTCAAGCTTCCGGATCTTGAGTGTTCTATTAAAGAGAAACCACAACTCCAAGATCTATAAAAAAAATCTCTAGGGGAAAAATCCCCACTAGGCTTAAGATAGCCCTAGCTCTAGATACCAATGTAACAACCACGGCCCTTATAACAACGTGCAACCGTGTGTTAAATATAAATCACCCTTGACAATATTGATAAAAATCAAGATACAAGGCTTCCAAGTTTAACTAATCCCACCAAGGGATAATCTAGCCTTGATAGTATTCTTCAAGCTTGAGAGGAGAAAGGGAGCTTGAAGAAGGTTGATGAAGCTTTAACAAGTAGGTAGGACCTTCTTGTAGAACTTGTCCTTGAAAAATCACAAGTCTAGTTGTGTAGGAGAGCTTGTTATGAGAACCCAAAATGACTTAGAGAAATCCCATTTCCAAGTTAGATTGTTGGAGTTGGGAAGTGGGAATGAGCTTGAAAGCTTCAACCCCTTCCATCATACCCCTTGGGGCTCTTCCCAACCATGGCTTCCATGGTTGGGGAGCTAATAGGCTTGGAGCCTAGGTGGCATCTTTGTTTGGTTGGGAAAACCCAACTTAATTGTATTGTATGGTTGTTTTGTGTTTGGTTGGATTGTAACAACAACTGGCATAATTTGATTGGTTGGAAATCCAACCTTTCCAATCTTCACTTTGATGGGTTGGAAGTTTTACAAGCCTCAAGGTTGAGGGTTGGGAAAACCAAACCAGCTTTCCTCTCCAACTCATCCTTCCCATCTCTCGTAGTTCAATTTCTCGTCGAAGAACTTCTCGACATTGACTACGAGAGTCTCATTAGGTGCTTAGGGAGGTCGCTCGTTACACTTATAGTCCCGCTCAAGAAAATTGCATGAAGAGTGGTTGTTTTGCTACTATTTTCTGGATTTCGGCATTTACGTAGATTTGGACCGCGCTTGCTTCAACTTCCAGTCGCACGGTTTTCCACGCTGATCAAGGGGTGTTACATTGCGCGCTGGTCCATTTACAAGGAAATGGACCAGCGAATGCAAGGGGGCACCATTTTTGGGATCACTTCTAAAAGTGGTCCCGCTTGGTACCATGGATCATTTGCGGCGGACCAGCTATGCACAGTGCATTGCAGCTTTGAAAACGAAGTGTTGACAAAAACAAAAGTGTACCTGGTTACACTTGAACAAGATGTCACAGACAGCAAATACTTTTGGCGAAAAAAAATCAAAACGCAATTTTCGCATGCGATTCCCATTGCCTTGGGTCGCTCGGGAAATGGTCCTGGGTGTCGAGCATTGTTTTCGTGCGTGCGCCTCGAACTGTACATGCTGGTCCATGGGCGGGTGCAAGTCGGGTCCACACCTGGGCCGTTCGCTGGTCCATGCTGGTCCGAGCTGGTCCATTCAAATGCCCTTGGGCCGCAGCGGCCCAGCATGGCCCAGCGTAGGTCTTACGCACAGCACACCCCCTCAATGTCGCATGACTAACGGGCAAAACTAAACAAAATCAACAATAGTTTTGGGGTCGAATAGTAACCCAAAATTTTTTTTCCCTGTGATCGAAATAAATAAGTTGTTATTGAGAAGAAGTGAACGAGAGAAATGAGTGGACTATGAACGAAGTGAGTACAAATAGGAAACCCTAGTTGGGTTGTACCCCCTATGGGATACCCCACTATAGCCTCATAAATAAGTAAGCTATAATATTATGACACACCCCCATAGGCAAAGTGGGGGAGAACAAGGGGTCACAAGACCAGTCAAGCAAATCAAAGCAAAGCTCAGGGTGGATCACAAAGTCACCACACATTCTGAGCACAAGTTCAAAGGCCACAAGGCCAGTTCACATGCAAGATCATTTATAGAGATATACAAGAGTCAAGCAAGCAAGAACAAGAGTATATATAGGTCAAGGTACAAGCAAGATCAAGAAGTGAGCAAGTGAGGCAAGACAGGCACAAGACCCAGCTGCGTGCAGCAACGCTGATGATCACAAGGCGCAAGTGCCTTGGTGAAGACATCAGCAGTGTTGGCCTCAGAGGCCACGTAAGCAAGTCGCAACTGTCCACGCTGCTGTAGCTCACGAGCAAGAAAGTAGAGGAGAGCAATGTGCTTTGTCCTGTGCTCCAGTCGCTGCTCTCGACACAAGGCCAGCATGGCCTTGTTGTCTACGTACAGGACTGGGGGAGAACGAGGCGGCTCTCCAAGGTCGGTCAGCAGGTAGGTGAGCCAGCGAAGCTCCTGAGCAGCCATAGCCCCGGCGTAGATCTCAGCCTCACAACTGGAGCCGAGAACAGAAGACGAGCGGGTAGCTCGCCACGAAACAGAGCCGGAACCAAGGCTGAAGGTGTAACCCTGTGACGACCGCTGCGTAGCCTGGTCGTCAGCCCAAGAAGCGTCCGCGTGCCCAGTGAGGACCACTGGACTGCGCCCTCCAAGCACTAGCCCCATGCCCGATGTACTGCACAAGTAGCGCAACACCCTCTTCGCTGCAGCCATGTGCTCTGGTCGGTGTCTCCCAGGAGCAACAAAGCGTGCGAGAATGCTAAGAGGGTATGCAAGGTCAGGTCGTGTGCAGGTCATCAGGTACATGAGACAGCCAACAAGCTCTGCATACGGACCACTCGACTCTACGGACTCATCCGAAGGCAGAGCTGAGACTGAGTGGCGAGTAGGCAGAGGAGTGGCCTGAGGCGAGGAGTACGTGAAGCCGAAGCGCTGAAGGACCTGCTGCACCATGTGTGACTGAGTGAGGGTAATGGTGCGGCGTGCTCTGTCCCGGGTGATCTGCAAGCCAAGGTAGCTGCGCAGTTCACCCAGGTCAGTGCACGTGTGTCTCTTCTGCAGCTCGGACTTCACGTAGGCGAGTCCAGCAGTGTCAGCTGTGGCAAAGACCAAGTCGTCGACGTACACGAGGATGTAGAACGGCGGCAGAGAGGTGTCGCTGCGCAAAAATAGCGACGGGTCGGCAGTAGAAGGAGCTAACCCAAGTGCCGCAAGCGTAGTCCTCAGTGTGTCGTGCCACTCACGTGGCGCCTGGCGGAGACCGTAGACTGGACGCCGGAGACTCCACTGGGTACCAGGAGGGAAAGACCCAGTGAAGCCAGGTGGGCGACGCAGCTAGATCTCCTCGTGCAGGCTGCCCTGCAAGAAAGCAGTGCTGAAGTCGAGGGAGTGCAGCTCGTAGTCACGGTGAGCAGCAACGTGCAGCAGTACCCGAAGAGTGGTCATCTTCGGGGTGGGGGAGAAGGTCTGAAAGTAGTCAACCCCCTGCCGCTGACTAAAGCCACGAGCCACGTAACGCGCCTTGAAGGCAGGCGGAGAACCCGGCGGCCGCTTCACCCTGAAAATCCACATGCCACTGACTATGTTCGCCCCAGGAGGGGGAACAACGTCACGTAGGTGCCTGTGGACTTCCAGGAAGCCATCTCTGCATCCATAGCTGCCTGCCACTGAGAGGAGTAGGGACCCTCTATCGCCTCCGCGTAAGAGCGCGGAGTCGGGATGTCTAGTGCATCCGAGTCTCCCTCAGGGGCGAGCAGTACAGACGCGAGATGAGGTGAAGCGGCGGCCAGACACTGGAACTCCTCCTGCCTGTCCTCAAGGACGTCCGTGCCAAGGGCACACTCACCCCCGACGGACGGAGGACAGGCAGACTCAGACTCAGCAACAAGACTAGCAGCGTAGTCTAGACGACAGCGCGCAGCAAAGTCGACGAGGTCAGTGACAAGGGCAGACGCAGCAGACGACTCGAAAGAAGGGTCAGTGACAGCAGTAGCAAGGAGACGCCTGACAGTGGGACTGGCAGCACGAAGAGAGTCCGACTCCGGGTCGGCAAGAGCAGGAAGAGAGGAAGAAGGAGGAGAAGGCAAAGGGGCACGCAGAGGAGCAGTGGACGGACGCAGAGACATCCGGTGCGTGCCAGAGACAGGAGGAGGACGCTGACGCGAACCGCGACCACTAGTGCGTGCAGGACGGACAGGCGACGCAGGACGAGACGCAGGCTCACGACGCTCAGTAAGACCTCCAGTCGGACCAGCGTAGGGAGAAGGAGCAGGCAAAGGAGAGGCAGGCTGTAGCTGTGACTGGGACTGGACAGGCTGTGGACCCTCTAAGGGAGGAGGAGGAGGACCAGGAGAAGGTGTAAGACCAAGAACCTGCTGCAGGAGCGGAACGAAGTACGGCCGGGGCCGCGTGGCGACGCCAGAAACAGCAGGGACAGCACAAGTACCCCCAGAAGGAGCACCCGCTCCAGCAGCACCTCCAGCAGCACCTCCAGCAGCTCCAGAACCCCCAGCAGCACCAGGAGCAGTGCTAGTAGGACCGCCAGCAGTAGTCTCAGCGCCAACACCCTCAGCAGCTCTAGCTCCAGGAGAACCCTCAGGCCCAGCAGCTCCAGCACCCACAGCACGAGCACCTCCGGGACGCGTGATAGCAGCACCCTCTGCAGTCGAAGAACCTCCACCACCAGCAGCACTCCTCCAGCGCCGGGCAAACCACTCACGCAGCTCCTGTGGGGAGAGTGGCTCTCGGCGAGACGAAGCACCTCCAGGCGGAGAACCTCCAGGCGAAGAACCTCCAGGCTCAGCACCCTCAGGCAAAGCACCTTCAGGCGGAGCACCCCCAGTCTCAGCACCCCCAGGTTCAGCACCCCCAGGCCC